AATGCATTCAAGCATATCTTAACCATTAACAAAAATGTATCTTATATGTGTATCACTCGGTTGTAGATCATCCAATCATCTCTGAATTGGTGCTGACACTGACCTTCCTTCTGGAGGGGGCTACTTTTGTGCCCCATGGTCCCTGTATGTGTTGTAAAGTAGTCACTGCGCCAAGATCAGTCCTGTGATGGACTACAAGCTCAATACAAATAAGCAAATTAAATGTGAGATTGTAGTCCATCACAGGAGTGTGCTTGGAGCGGTGGCTACTTTACAACACACACAGGTACCATGGGGAACAAAAGTAGCCCCCCTCCAGAAGGAAGGACAGTGTCAACACCAATTCAGAGATAACTTGACGATCTAAAGCTGAGTAATATAAAAATAGTCTAACTTAAGGTACTTGAATGCATTTTTAAGATGTAACTCCTGCTAGTCCATCTAACGCTACTTTCTCCACAGGGCGACAATGCTGCTGTCCAAGAGTGGCACCGTTGCACGAGTGGAACCACCCTAAGACAGGAAGTCTTAAGAAAGATAGAAAAAAAAAAACTGAAAATAAAAACTAATATAGGTCACCACATTTAAGGATTAGTAAGATGTGTTATATAATAGTAATTTGTTTTAAGGGTTTAGATCTGCATTAAGATCAGTAAACAATATTTGGCATGCTTTATATTGGTATAATAGCAGCAGAGGCCAACAATTATCAGATCAGAATTTTTAACACTCAGGTCTTGGCACGAGTCTGGCATCAAGCTGGGGTTAAAGCTAGTAATTATCTAGAGTTGGCAATCTTTTATGGTTATATTTTGCGATTATTTAGCATTAGGGTTCTTGATTTTTTTACAAGGTAAAATCAACATTATTGTTTCCCATTAATGTCACATTTTGGAAAATGAAAACAAGGCAAATATTTCAGCCCCTCTATTACTATTTTGTGTCCAACACAGCATTAGTGCTTTATGCTACTATAGTCCCATTTTAAAAGGAGGGTTAAACTGTTGGACATACCATAGTTAAAATAAAGGTTTTATGCACACTTATAGTTGGTCTGGCTATTTACAGCTGTCTAGTTGTTTTATATAACAAATATTGCATGGTTAGAGTAAGGTTGTATGCATTCTTCTGTTGATATGTTGTACTTTTGTCCTAAATAAAGAATTAAAATAAATAAATAATGCTTTTAGACACACTTGGTCTGGTTATTTACAGCTGACTCTAGGCTCACTGAGCAAGGTTAGTTGTCTATTTTTTCCATGTTCCATGATAACAATATGGTTGTATGTGCTCTTTTGTTTATATATTGTACTTGGTTTTTGTCCTGAATAAAGAATTTTTATAAAATAAATAAATAACGGTTTTGGTTGAGCTTCTTAGAAATCTGTTTTCACACATTGTCATCTGTGTCAGCCTGACAATTCAGCAATTTCACCCACACAGGGAATAGAAGAACATAAAAACACAGAAAGTATGGTGCTTTTGCTTGTAAAATAGTTGGAAAATGAAAGAGGCCTATAACCTGCTTTACAAAGGCTTAGCTGGTTGTGTTTAGCACATTTAACATATAGACCTGTAATATTTTACAATGTGCTCGGAATAAAAGAGCCCTATGCATTACAGCAACAGACTGGACTGATATATGGCAGTGCAGCTCAGTTAAAAACCTAAGTGAAAAGCTTTAATACTTCAATAACTGCCCAACTGAGACATTAAAGGAAGCTTTACATGGAGAGCAACAAATCAATCTCTTAATGTTCCCTATTTGTAATATAAGCTGCACTGTTTACAAGAAATAAGAGTGAACCAATGTATGGTTATTGTATAGTGGAATTTGCTGGTCTGTTTAATGTTGAATTAAACACTTGTTCCTAAAAATGAGCCCGTACCCTAGAAACAGGGTATAAAATCAGTCCATGTGATTTACCAGACATCAAGTAGATTTTAAGGTAGAACTGTGGTATTCAAACAGTGAAGCCATCAGGATGTCGCACATCAATATACAGGGCCTTGTCACCAATAATATGCTAGATCAGGCAAGCAATAAGCAGTATGAGGTAAAAGCAAGCCACAGCATCTTCTGCTACTTAACAGCCAATAATAATCGTTCCTTAAAAACTGAAAGGACTCACGATGCCCATGTCTGCATCAAGCCTCAGAAGTGTAATAAAAAGAGAGCAACTGTGAACAGGCCCATAGACCCTGGGTCTCAGCTCTACTACAGTATTGCACGCATGGCTTAAAGTAACAGTTAAACCTTAAAAATGCATTCAAATACCCTATTAGGTTTTTTTGTGTATTACTCGGCTGTAGATCCTCAAATCATCTCTGAATTGGTGCTGACACTGTCCTTCCTTCTGGAGGGTGGTTACTTCTGCTCCCCATTGTCCCTGTGTGTGTTGTAAAGTAGTCACTGCACTCCTGAGTTTAGTGTCACTTTAATAAGGTAGAACCTGAAAAATGGTAGTCCATAAAATACTTTTTTTTGTTTGTTTTGGATAGAGTGGGTAAGGATATACCTTTTCTATACACCTATGTCCCCACTGGTAAGATTTCCTCTCATCTATTGACCCAAGAACCACAAAGTAGTAAAAACAAAGAGTTCTAGCAGCAACAGAAACCAAAGGAAATACACATTATTTGCAACAGCTAAGGAACTCTCACTCCTGTAAGACAAGTCCAATTCTGGTAGAAACCACAGTCAATAAAATCAACAAGATATTCACAGATAAAACAAACCACCAATGGACAGGTGTTCTTGAAAATAAATTTCAGGTTATACTTGTTATTTCCAAGTGCAATGCTGAAATGTATTAAAGTGGACCTTTACTTTAAAAAAAAAAAACAAGCAGAAGGCCAAAGACTGGTTATTAGTACTGCCGGCAGGTTTGCTGTAATTGGTCTTTCTCCCAGGACCAAGTAACCATGTCTCGTCCCATGCTGCATCTGTGTGTAGCAGTAGCAGCCATCTCGGTAGATGAGCAGAGCTTTGCTTCCTCATGTCAGACATGATCCCCCTGATGACTGATGACCTAATAATAATTGAACTGATAACAAGTGGCAGCAGGAGAGGTGAAGAAGCCACAGATCCACAAACATTAGCATCACAAAAGGGAGACCGGCATCAACTGCAGTAGGAGAGGTGATGTACAAAGCCACAGAATAATTAAAGTAGGAGCAAAAGGTTCCTTGCATTGTAGGTCTTACACTCCCTGCCTGGCTTCTTACTGGTCTGTGAAAGAACATTAAATGGGAGAAAGTAGTAAGAAGCAAAAGGATATTTGTTTTGTCTTTTTTTTTCTTTTAACTAGGCTGTTATAAAATGTATTCTGTTCAAGCGACAACTTTATATTTGACCTCTGAGCTGGCATATTTATCACAATCCAGATTGAAGCTGCTCGATGACCAAAACATGTAAAACATGCACAGCTCGGTTGAGCGGGAACATGAAAGTCTGAATTCAACAGGAATCGTTGGTGAGCTATCAGAAAGATTAAAAGGCAAGTGGATAAACCTACAAAGATATTTAAAACAGCTTCAATAGAACAAGAAACACATGGGCATGTACACAAATATACATACATATACATAATAACCCATTTTTTTGCGACGGCAGCTTTGTTATTTGACAGTTTTATGAATTCTCCTTCTGCTGTAGCATACTGCTGAGCTCAGGCTTGAGCATCAGTGGGAGACTTTCACAGTCAAAGTAACTTCCCAAGATACATTTTAGGATGCGTTATTATCAAGCATTTAGAAGAGGCTATTGAAAACATTTAGTCACAAATTAGGCAAACGCACTATCATCGGTAGCAAAGAGGCAATTTCCAAAGCAGAAAAACACCTATACAAGACATAGTGAAGACAGCAACCCTCATGTTAAAGTTATTTTGGGGGTGATTCAAATAAGCATTAGCAGAAAATTTCTGGGGATGTGTATGTAGGCGGAAGCCTTGCACCAAATTCATAAAAACCCTGAGATATTTCATTGTTAATACTGGCACGTGCGACAATCTCAAGCGGTTCTTATTTGCGGCACTTTTAATGTATGGTGCTACTGTTGCAACAAATTCATAAAGAAATACTGCCATATCCATGAGAAGGAAAGAGGTGATAAATAAGACCTCTTCCATGATGGAGTAAATTGTCGCTTGTGTCCCACATGTTATTATAGTGCTACACCCTTGAGACAATTCTGTGACAAAGTTCCTCTGTTCTGAAGTTCCTCTAGAACGGATATTTGAAATGTTTTCAATTACTCTCCAAGTCTCTCCTTGCAAAACCCCACCATTTGGCCAGATAGACGCTTGTGACAGTTCTGTCAGTTGAGACAGATTTGTACACACCTTACTGAAACAGACATGAATCTGCTGCAAGTTCACCATTTGTTGCACTACAGCAAGACAGATTTCAAAATAGTATCTATATAATTACGTATGAATTCCAGGTAGTGTTTTTTCATTCAGCAATCACACCCAAATAGAACTTATAAAATGCCCAGCAGATAAGGGAACACCAGTTATCACAGGCAAAGAAATTCATTTTATATAAGTCTAAGCAGCTACAGTAAAAATAAACATTTCCTTGGTTATTGTTTAGTAAAGCTGGCTGAACAATCAGCTTCTGTAGGATAGCAAACCAACCACAGGGGGGCAATGTTTCCTTAGAATCTAGGGCAGATAGCTTACTTTTATGCTACGGACCCCACACAGAAGCCATTGACCATGTGCAACCATTACCCATTTGCAAAACAGTCGTGAGTAACTAGCTCAATGGTCCCCCAGGTGTGATCTCTCATATATCTAGCCCAATGGTCCCCCAGGTGTGATCTCTCATATCTCTAGCCCAATGGTCCCCCAGGTGTGATCTCTCATATCTCTCGAAAACCCCGGTGTTTCTTTTTATGTTGTAACCATTACCCATTCAACATCTAGATACATCTATACAGGGATTAAAATAGAAGAGCATTTTTGGTCCAACAGGAAAATGTATCCACTCACCATCTTTAAGCTGTTGTGTCTGGGGGGGCAGAGAATCAAAGCGCCGAGAGACTGGACACAGGAGCTTTTCCACTCTTTCTGCGGAGATGTCTAGGGGGCTGGGAAGCTTACTGCACACCATAGCTTAAAAATATCTGGTCAAGGGCAAATAAAGCAAGTCATTTCAACAAAGGCTAACAACATCTGCTTTAAACATTATGAACTGGTCCCCAAATACATCCTGACACAAGGAGCTGCCAGCCAAAACAAATAAAATAAAGTTGTCTTACAGGACCAACAGAAATTCATAAAAAGTGTTTGTGTAGTCAAGAATTAACCCAAAGAAAGTAACTGTTTAATTATGGAAACGGCCTGGCAGTAGCTACACTCTCATCCAGACTGTGGATTGGCGTGCTGCTAGGATTTAGTGGCAGAGAATTTATATTTTAATAACACCAGCTGTTAACACAGACTTCTATCATTCATTTTCTAGATAAGTGCGGAAAATCCACTGTGCCAAATATAGAGCGAAAATGTGTCTAACCTTTGTTGGTTGGAGCGGCAGCCAAGATATTCCAATTCAAATGATGTACGCACTTGTAGCTGGCATGGACCAGTCTGCACCATGGATGTTAAATAAGCACACATAAAGCAGAGCCATAGTGCAGAGAAATCTGTTTAATTTGCCCTGGGCTGTGGAAGAGATCACTGCAGTTACTAAGTTCAGCATAATAAAGGGGCTGCAAGAGGAGTTTCCACTGTTTATATTACAATTCCAGGGGGTCTTGGCAATGCGTATAAAATAATACATGGGTTTCTCCAACGACGGGTTCTGATTTAACAGTTAATTACAGAGCGTTGCTCTGTAGAGTCTCTGGTCAAAAGGTATCAAAAGTCATAACTGGACTATTATTGTAGATAAAAGGCTACATTATTGTGGGCTACACCCAAAAGGGTAAAGTGCTCAATATGTCTATGTCTGAAATAAAAAAGAAATACTCACCTGATCCTCGGTCCCAAGACGGTCAGCACTCACCTCTCTCCCCCTCCACTCCGCCTGTGGAATGTCATAACTGGACTATTATTGTAATAATGATCATGAAGATTTAATAATGATCATTAAAGAGCAAACACCAGAGAGCACATTCAAAAAATGTCACCTGCCGGTGTTGACCCTTTGTGCTGAACTCCCAAAAGCTGCAACCCGAACCTACAGCTGAATTTTCAATATAAAGCATCTGATCCTTTGCAGGCCTCTCCAGAGTTTCAAGCTGAGGTTACAACATCGAGTGGAATTTTCTGCTACTTGACAGAAGTGGGGATTGGGGCAACTAGGTAGAAACATCCCTAAAGGGGGGCAGATAAAAATGAGCAGGACGTAAATTAGGGTCAGAGAGCCAGCAGAGGCACAGATAGGGCCTGGGCTATCTCTCTATTGGTTGCTGAGGCACATGTATTACAAAGATGTTGTGGTAAGAGTCCCCCATTCAAAGGTTATTGTCAATGGCTCTAGTGGCACAGGAGAAGTCTACCTAAGAATACGAGGTGCTAACAGCATTTGTCGCTTCCTCTTCGTGACGTTTCAAGTTTTCAGAACAAGTTGCATTATTAATAATTCACGACATACGACATACTGGCTACATTTCTCCACATTAAACAATATCTGTGAATTCTGAAGATTCTGTTGCTCTTATCACATGTCACCAAAAGAAGTGTCCTCTGCTGATGACATGTAGCTCAAAAGAGGATACATAGCACTGCCTGAGAAACGGGAAGCCACTGACTGTAGATTGCGTTCACGTGGACTTTCGGATCACTGTGCCGCGATTCACGAGGGTTGATTTTCAAACCCAGCGATTGAACTATTTTGTCTATTTTCTCTTTCTCCCTAAAAGAAAAGAGCAAATACAACAGTTATACAAGAAGATACAATAACATACACACACTTTTTTCTGCTGGAAACTTTCACTGACCTCTTCATGATAGCATCATACAAACTCCAAATGTTATCCAATATGAGCTGCACAAATAAAGGTTTCTTCCCTTTGCTCTGTAAAGGAAAGAGTAACAGAGTTTAAAAGGTAGCAGGTTTCTAGGAAATACATCTTTTTCTAGTTACTACTGCAGACTACTTTAAAAGCAAATCTATTCTGGTGTTTGGCCTTGTCCCATGAGGACAGGCAGACAGATCCTCAGCGCTGTGTGAACTCAATAGAGAGTCTCAGAGCTTATACTGGGCTTCCTTTCCTCACTTCAAGTGGCTGATCAGAAGTGCAGGGGAATAAAAGGAAGGCGAGTATGTCCAAAAACAGAATCAGTAAGGAAAAACTTAAAGGATTCAAAATGTAAAGTGTCCCCAAGATTAAAGAAAGGAGTTGTAACGTCCTCGCATATGTTATAACATGAGCATTGTAATAGGAATACATACTAGAGTTGTTTTTGATAATGCAATCAAAGTGTATTTGAACAAAAAAAACAAAAACTCTTTTATGTAGTGAGTGCTGCCTTTTGTCTGCCCATCACTTTCCACAACTTCCTGGATTCCCAGTGTGCTTTGTGTCTCTTTCCCTGCTGCTTGATGTGATGCAATCTTGATTTCTTAAGACTAAATTACCCATCGTGCATTGCTCCCAGCAAAAAATGATGATGTTACATTGTTCAGATGTTGAGTTGTAGTTCAGAGGGTAGGCTCTGTGAGTTGTGACATAAGGGTGTGCATATTTATAGGCCTGAGTGAAACTGTGTGACTGCATTGAGAAAGTACATCCTATCGGCATCTTTAAAAGGTTCCTAAACATATTATATTTGGTTATTAGGAGTAGGATAGAACTTAGAGAATTTCAATATAGAAATACATATTTATTTTTAGTTTTTGACCACAGATACCCTTTAAGTACTTCTTTATATGCTCAAAGAAGGGGTGGAAAAGTAAGGGAGGGGGGCTGGGAGTTTAATCAGTGAGAAACAGACTTCTCGATTCATAATTAAAGCATAATCAGTAAAAAGATTATTCTCCTAGTTACCTAAATCAATTATACCTTCATGTGCAGAAATAGAAATGGTGCACTAAAGGCTGAAAATAGTAATACCAAAAACAAAATCAAGAACAAAAAAGGCAAGTGTGTTCTGCTGGGAAAGCCAGCATTAAAGCAAATTTGAAGCTTTGCCATGCATGGGCAAAGCACAGGTTTTGTTTAAAGCAATTTAACATTTTCAGAAGCTTGCTTTCATATTTCTGTTACTGTAGACTAACCACTAGAGGGAGCTCTGTACTTGACACAACTTCATGAAATCCTTGCTTAAAGATACACCATCTCCTTGCCCAAAGTGACAGTGTCTCCACAATTAACTGCCCAGGCCGAGCACATGACCAAGGAAGTGACTTTTATGGGGGGGGAGATGTTACATAGCCCCCTATACCCAGATGTGCTGTGTAGTGTTGCTGGCTGAGGTAGACATTGTTTTCTTTAACAAATGTTAACATAAGATATTGACCACACAATGAGGGGGATTCATCCAAACTGGAGCAGACGTCCATGGCAACCAATCAGCTTCTCGGTTTCATTTTCAAATCTTAACTGAACAAACTTAAAAGAGAAGCTGATTGGTTGCCATAGGCAACTGGTCAAGATTTTGTCTGCTCCAGTTCTGCTAAATCCCCCAATTTGAGTATTGTTTTTAAAGTGGCAGCTGACTTACACAGTTGCATTATGAGCAGTGAATCTCAACCATTGGTAGCACTGCAAATCCTGTGTAAATAATGAGCAAATATGGCTGTAGCCATGTACAAATGTAATTTTAAACTCTGCACAGACACATTTTTTTTTTAAATAACACACATCAATATTATTTATATCAAGCCAACAATTCTTACATATATAACTAAAAAAAATCCCCCAGTCCCTTAACTTGTGTTCATCCCCACCACCACTGATCCCTTTACCCCATGTTTCCATACTCTGAGTGTGCAGGTGTTTTACTGGCAGACTTTGACACTTTATTGTCTGTTTTATTGTACAGTTTATGTATTGGTACTTCAGATTTTGTTTAACAATAGCCAGCTTAGGCCCCCTTCACATGGGTGGTGTCCGTTTTAATCAGCAGAGGATTCATACACAGACCCCCCGCTGACCGGAGCAGAATGAAACCGCTCCAAGGCTTGACAAAGAGGGTCACCCTCGAAACGCGTAGCCGCCAATTGCCAACTGATCTCACTTGAACACATCACCCCGGACTCACGAGCACTGACGAACACGCTCCAGCGTTTATGCCGCACACCATACGGCTACACACCGCCCAGTGCCGATCACAGCAGCCTGACAGTCCTCCCCCTCCTGCTCTAGTAGCCGCGGCTCGGCCCGGCCAGCCGAGGACGCAGCCTGGAGAGACTTGGGGTTTATTTAGATCTTAGACTATTTAAATCTTGACTGTCCAGATCTTTCCATCCAGAAACACTTCGCTGACCGCACGGGACTGCATGTCCATCTATGACATCACAACCATGAGTTATATATCAACCAATTTATTTAAACAGCTAGTCATTATAGGATGCTTAGCATCTAAACAATTTCTTAGGTTGTTGCGCTCTTCTATGTATAATTTTGCCAAACACGTTATAAGGGGCTCCTCTCCCGGTCGTTGAAGAGTTTTTGCACACCATTTTCCATATAGTTAGCAAGTGAGAAACTTGACCATATTACAGTTGTGCGCTTCCATGCATTTTTTGTTCAGAATGAAACAGATGTCACTCTTGTGATATCAGTGTCCATTCAGTTTCTTTCTCCATCTTGCAATAGAGGAAAAAAAACTGCACGGTATGGACACGTTATCTCTATTAGGAGTAGGATGTAAGCGGACATGTGTCTGCCTCCGATCGGTCACAATCTGGTCCACTAAAACAAAACTTTGTTCCCATTTTTTTTCTGGACCTAGGCAGATTGGGCCTGATTGGACCGCCCGTGTGAAAGGGGCCTTAAGGTGCCCATACACCTTAAAAGGTGCCCATACACTGCTCGATTCTCGTACGAGGATCGGGCTAAATCCCGCGAACGTACGAGAATCGAGCAGTGTGAACTAAGACGTGCGACCGTTTCTAACGTACGGTCGCACGTCTTTTGTCGAGCCAACATGCTCGAAAACCCGCCGAGAATCGTACGATTCTCGGCGGGGTTCTAGCCTGCTCGCCCGATAGCTGCGGAACGGGCCGGTGTGCGCACGCGCACACTGCCCGTTCTGCATTGCCGTCATCGGAAGCCCGCCCCTCAGCGGGGCGGGCTTTCGATGATCGCAAGTACGATCTGCCCGTCTAAGGTGGGCAGATCGTACGGGCTTTCAAGAAGCATACGACCATCGCAAGACAAAAGTCTTGCGATGGTCGTAAGGTGTATGGGCACCTTAAGACTATCGTACGATAATCTATGCGATCGTGTTTTCGTCCGATAATCGCAAAGTTCATGGGCAGTGTACAACAGCAAATACTGTACAATCGTACGACTTTTGACTTTCAAGCAGGTTAGAAATCTTTGGTCGATCGTATGATTTTCGCAAGGTTGGTGGCGTTTCCGTACGTCAAAAAAATCGTACGATCTACACTGCTCATGCGCAAACGAAAATACGTGCGGTCGATTGAGCACTCACCTCATAGTTCTCCTTTAGGCTGGGCTCCCACCTAGGCGTTCAAAATATGCGTGTATGACGCACGTTTTGCTGTGCATGTTTTAAACGCGATTTGCAGCCCACAAAAAGCGCGTCGAACGCGCGTTTATGAGGGCTATCCGGCTGTATCCTAATGGATACGCGCGGAAATACGCCCCAAAGAAGCTCCTGTACTTCTTTGGGCATAGGGCGTTTTTCAGCACGTTCCGAACCTCTAGCAACTTCAACGCAAAATTATAGCTAACTTGCCTACAAACGTCAGGTGGTCATAATAAACTGTCGTGTGTGTGTGTGTGTGTGTGTGTAAAAGAAGTCAACGTATATGTGTTTTTAGAGGTGGAATCTCGGTTCGAGACACCAGAAAGAAACTCATGTCCTCTCACATACAGTCTTTGTTCAGTACTGTTTGCCATACACAGATCTAGACTTGGGCTGCAGGCCACATAAATGAGAAATCTCCATGGAAAACATTTGCTCTGCTATTTTTACCACAATGGTGACAAAGGCCATTTACAGAAGTCATCAATCACCACAAATTTAGCTCCCAGCTTTTATTAACACTGGTTGCCACTCTAAGAAACGATTAGTGTATGAAAAGAAAAATACTAGATACAACATTTCATTCACATAATCATCAAAGGGAAAGCCCTAAAGAAGTCCAATCTTCAGTTAAACAATATATCCTAATAGGATCAAGGATGAAAGATTGATGGCTCAGAACAGAACTCAGTTCAAGGAAATGCAAGTCGCAGAAGCTGAGAGCTGTAACTGAAAACAAAACTAGAAATAAGGCTAGCAACAGTTTAAAAATACCCCAAATAATGTAAAATATTTTTATTTCCCATAAGTTTCCCATAAAAAAAAAAAACTAGCTGGTGCCTCGTTAGCCTGTGTTTTAGGGAGAACTCCGGAAATGTAAAAAGCTGATCACTGCACTGGGGCTAACCCCGCACTGCAAGGGTTAAGTGCTCATTATGTCTAGGCGGCTAAAATAAAGAAGCTATACTCACCTAATGCGAGTCAGCACTCCCTTTTCTCCCCTAGGTTGTGGAGTGTCCCTTGGCATCTTCACATCTAATGCAAGTCAATGCACCTGCGTCAGATGTGATGATGCCAGCGGTCCTAAAGGTGCCCATACACTGCACGATTATCGTACGATAATCGTATGCGATCGGTTTTTCGTACGATAATCGAGCAGTGTGAACGGAGACGTGCGACCGTTTCTACTGTACGGTCGCACGTCTTCCATCGAACCAGCATGTTCGAAAACCAGCCGGGAATCGTACGATTCTCGGCTGGTTAGAACGGTGCTCGGAAGATAAATGCTGAACGGGCCGGTGTGCGCACGCGCACACTGCCCGTTCAGCATTGCGGTCATCGGAAGCCCGCCCCTCAGGGGGGTGGGCTTGCGATGATCGAGAGTGCGATCTGCCTGTCCAAGATAGGCAGATCGTACGTTTTTTTAATCCCTGTACAACCATCGCAAGACTAAAGTCTTGCGATGGTTGTAGAGTGTATGGCCACCTTTAGTGTACGGCCCGTTCAGCATTTATCTTCCGAGCACCGTTCTAACCAGCCGAGAATCGTACGATTCCCGGCTGGTTTTCGAACATGCTGGTTCGACAGAAGACTTGCGACCGTACAGTAGAAACGGTCGCACGTCTCCGTTCACACTGCTCGATTATCGTACGAAAAACCGATCGCATACGATTATCGTACGATAATCGTGCAGTGTATGGGCACCTTTAGACTGCCAGAGCCCAGGGGAGAAGAGACTGCAAGACCAGCCCAGCAGGACTGAGGATTGGGTAAGTACATTTGCATTATTACTCACAAGAGTATGATGTACAGCGCTTTGACCATTCCTTTACATCTGCAACATCTCCACTGACAATCAGAAGTACAAAACCTTCCCAGCTGGGAAGGTTTTGAACTTATGATTGTCCTCAGTGGAGATGTTGCAGATGTAATGTAAATGTCAAAGCCCTGTACATCATACTCTTGTGAGTATATTTAATGGCTTTTAATTCAATTTTCAATTAATAAATGGTATTACACTAAGGACCAGTTCACACCATATGCAGTTGTGATGCAGTCCGTTTATTTGACTCCTGCAGTCAAAATACATCACAATGCTTTCCTATGGGCTTTCTTGTGCTTAATTCAGCACAAGAAAGACCATAGGAAACCACTGTGATGTATTTTGACTGCAGCAGTCAAATAAACGGACTGCATCACAACTGCATATGGTGTGAACTGGCCCTTAGAGATGTGCTTATGTTTTTTGTTTGGAAAAATATAATATATTGCTGCTTACCAATTCTTATATATGGTAGCTGTGTTAGTTTTGATTTTTTAGGCTATGAGCATTTTGAGATTTACATAAGCTGAACTGCAAGCACAACAGTTGTTATCGTCCTTCTGTAAACTACTTTGTGTAAAGAAAAAGAAGAAAGGAACATGTGCTTGAAGTCCAGCCTGGCTGACAACCATAGGGCTCCCCTAAAGATACAGCAGAGTGAGTGTAGCCATCCTATTACAGGAAATATGTTAATTGCAGGATCACCAGGTGAAAAAAAAAAAAAACTTAAAGAAAAAAGGACTGGTAAACTGCAATATGATACATTTTTGTTTTCTGGGTGTAGATAGGCTTTCATCTTCTTCCTGTGACAGATCACACAGATGTACTCTGAATTTTACCCATGACTTAAAAACTTTTAATACCTAACCTGACTTCCTCATCCTAGCACTTAAACCTGCACACCTAATCCCTGACCCAAACCTAACTCCTAACATAGTCCCCCACACTGCCTAAAGCTGGGTTATACACCGAGCAAATTTCAGACGGTTCTTGATAAAACATCCTGTCTACGGCCTCCCGTTCGACATCATTCAATTGAAAAATCAAAGGAGTCAGGTGGAAAATGGTCAGCTGAACAGCGCCTGTATCCAAATCGGATGAACGCACTATTAAGGTATTTTGACAGACGATGTGGCCCGACTGACTATCAAAATATAATGACCCAGCAGGAGCTTCCGCCATCCATGCTGTTTATCATAGATGGAGGAATCTGTTAGATTTTTTTCATTTATCTTTCAGAATGAGCAGAAAAATCTAACAGCGTATAACCAGCTTTAACCTCTTCAGAAAAATATCAGCTTCAGTATTAAGCTGTCACCACCAAATCTTACCACGTCCTGCACGGAAATTAAACTGTACCTAAACCCTAAAGTAAAAATGTAATATATTGCAGCTTAGCAATCCTTGATGTAGTGGCTGCATTATTATTAATAATAATAATTTTTTAGGGTTCTTTACCTTTATTTTCTTCTGGTAATCTGTCCAGTAAGTGTTATTTTTCAACTTCCTTTAACAGACCAAGTTGCCCAGCAAAAGTGACAGATTAGGGAGTTGAGGCAAACCATTTAGATTACCATGTACAATTGCATGCGGACTGCCACTAGCAGAGGTGGCCGCTGTCATTAACTTGAATGGGTACATGATCTGCAATCTTAACGGACATACCTGGGATTCCTAAGAATCCATAGGTTCTTGACACAGGTATCCTAGGACACACATATAAGCCCTGTATGAATGCAGCCTTAGGACTGACGGGTGCATACCATGGTCAGCTTTTATTTATTCAAGCAAAATCTGCCTAAAAAATGTTATATTAGTCAAGTCCATCTAAATCTGCTAGTCTATATAAAGGTGCCCACTCACCTTGCAATAATCGGATGATAATCGCGGGAAATCCCACGATCGTACGATTATCGCAAGGTGTGTGGAAGGCATGCGACCTCTGCTACTGTAAAACAATAGAAAAGCATCATGGCACACTCACAAACCAGCATGTAAAACAACTTGTCTCACCAAAACAACTTGTGAGACAAGTTGTTTTACATGCTGGTTTGTGAGTGTGCCATGATGCCTTTCTACTGTTTTACTGTTCAAAGCCCATTTCGTGTGCACCTTACTGTATAACTGGTGACAAATTGTTGAGTGCGTTTGTCTTGCTCTGCTACTGTAAGGTCGCACGACTTTTATCTTAGGAACATGTTCGAAAACCCGCCGAGAATCGTACAATGTTCGGCTGGTGTGTAGCATGTTCATAAGATAAATGCCGCACGGGCCGGTGTGCGCAAGCACACACTGCCCGTTCAGCATTGCAGGGCTTACACTGGATGTGACAATGCCAAGGGACATTCCACAGCGGAGGGGGAGAGAGGTGAGTGATCAAATCTGCAGAATGGAGGATTAGTTGAGAGTATATTTTCTTAGACCCTAGACAAAAATGAGCAGTTTACCCTTGCAGTGCAGGGGTAGTCCCACCGCAAGGGTTAATTTGTAATATACCACAAGTTCTTTAACAGTGTTGTCTCAAATTACTGCTGTTCAGGTTAATTTATCAGATGTTTGAGAAGCAGTTCAGAAACAATGGCCCTCGTGTGTAGCAGAGTAGAAGAAAAACTGTAGGTTGTCATAGCATGTAGATTCTAGCTAACCAGCAGGGACTGCTTAAAAGCAAGAAAGATAACACATACTGTTTTGTACTGGCACTTTTATGCCTGAGGCCCACTGAAAGACACAATGAAATCCATCTGTAATGAGCTGACTTTTACCTGGGCTCCCTTCATGATCTTCTTGGCTTTGGAATTCAGATAGAAATCTCCCCAAAGTGTCTTCAGCAATACGGCAGATTTAATGCCCACTTTCTGGCTGTATAGCTGTGCAAACTGATCAATTCTAGGATCGACAAAACAGAACCTCAATTAGGAAGATGAACATTTGTTCTCTGCTGTATATAAGAAACATCAAATCAAGGAAAACAATAACATATAAATTCTCCTGTTTTATAGAAAACAGGGATGGATTTGGAAGATTTATTGTGTAGGCTTTCAAGTATTTTCTACCTGTTATATTAAAGGAAAAAAACTGAGAGAAAATGTAGAGACTCCCACTGCAGACCTGCTTCTGAAAATCCTAGTTACCTGACACTTTACAACTTCTAAGTTACTGACCAGGAACATGTATGCAACAAGTGATGTCAGAACTCCTGATCGGTAAACTCCTTGAAGCTAAGGGACACAAAAATAACTGAAGGCAGCCAAACTGGTATTTACAGAAGAAGAAGCCAGCAATGGCAACCCCCACATTTCTGTTAGCACAGGTTTCCTATAGGCCCTGTCTGTCCTAATATGTATATGGTAGCTGTAAAAAGGTTTGAGTATGGGAGACTAGGGTGCCACTGTGCAATGCCACATAGCAGTAAAGTAGTATAGTGAAAGTAGCAGTAAAATTAGGAAAATCTGCTTTTATTAGTAGGTAGGTCTCTGCACACACCTGTACTATGTTAGGCATCAATCACACAATGATTGAAGCTGTTGATTCCTACGGCAAGAACCTGCTGATCTTGTGGTAGGAATCCCAGGTGTGTCTGTGTGGATGCGGCCGCTGTGCCAGTTCATGTGAATGGCAGCGGCTGTATTTGTCCGCATGTGGATAAAGTTAGAGGATGGTCCCTGGATGCACTCTGTCTACATCTAGGGACAATCTATCCATGTGTGATTACAAGTGGTCAGTCTCTGACACACCAGGAATTCCTGCTGCAAGAATCTGCAGGTTCTTGCGGCAGAAATCCCCACCCGCAGCCCCAATCACTGGGTGCCAGCTCCTGGAGTCCTAGCAACCCTAGTTGAGCAATATATGCAGATTTCCAAAGTCAGAGTAAGGTGTGGCTGCATAAGAGACAGACAGAAAATCACATCCATTGCATTGTACGAAGCAGGGGCAGAGCCAAAACTATATCTCATTACAAGTTGATGTTCTAATGCGGAAAGAAAGCCCAGGTTAAGCTCGGACCAAGCGCCAGCTGTACAGACATTTCTATGTGGTAATTGTAATTGTGTTCTGTGTGCCCTAGCAGTGATTGGCATGGTTCATTTGCTGAAAAACTCCAGTAACCACATATAGTGCGAACAGGCCCTAAGGGGGCAGGTATACAATAAAAGCCTGGGCAATTAAAACTGTACACATGAAACAAAATGCATATGCAGAGGTTACTTCAATGAAAACCAAATGTCAAAACACACAGTAGATCCAAAGACATACACAGCTTGATACTACCATTGCTTCTTTCTGTTTTGGATATAGTTAGAGGAGTTAAAAATTGTCAGGTTCTTATTTCTGTCTGTCATATCGGAGATTTTACCTCACTTCCTGTCCCTAGGACATGATAGAGAATGCAGTTGACAGTGGGAAAAGGCAGCATTAAAAACATTGGCAGATGTTCTAACCCTTACCTTGTCTACTAAAAATGTGTTTTTATTTATGACCCCCAACAGGGACACAGAAGCAATTAAAACCTGACAGAGGCTCTGACAAATACCCACTCAAAAATAAAATAAACCATTTTGGTTGGAGTTTGACTAAAGAAAAAAAGAAATGTAACCACCTTTATACATTTTTAGTTTGCCCTACGGTAGCTGGGCTATGATATTTTTGAGGACAGCCATAATATGAAACAAACTGCTCCAAACATCTCTAGATAATAGAAAATCTGGAAATGATTTCATGTATTTCTTAATGGAACATTCAGCTCCATCATTATAGAAGCTTTCATTTAAAATATAGTTTTCATTAAAGGGGCACAGAAGACCAGATGGATGATGATGATGGGATGTCCTCATTACATGATTTAAGTCTGGCAAAAAACTCTTTGAAACAGTGATTGTTTAGCGGCATCCATCTTGTAAATGGCTTTTAAATTATTTGCTGGTGTCTATACAAAAGTCAGAGAATTGTAACTTTTAAAAAACACACATTTTGTACATTACAGAAAACCAGCATATGTGTTTTTAAGTCTAATATCTAGAGGAAATACATACAAAAATGCATGACAAACACATAAAAATTTGCCCAAACACACAAGTATGCATATAAAACAACAGTGTAAACTAGCCCTTAGATTACCTTATTTCTCGATAGGGAAACCATCATAAAGAAAAGCCTTACGAAGGAAACCATCATGCGAGAAGCCTTAGATAGATGCTGCCATTCTTTAACTGGCACTGTGCATACTAGTTCTAAGGCGGTAAGATCACTCACAGTAAAGCTAAAGGTTTCAGCTTTACTGTCCTAGAATGACTATAGAGTGTGAGAATCAAAGCAGTATCTTCTGAGGTGTCTCACACAGGTATTTAACCTTGTGATGTATTCCTTTTAAGGAGAAAAGACTCCTTGTTTCGAAGCAGGGACACACGTTTAAATGGATTATTACAAGGACCCAACGGAGTCCTAAAATTACAGATCGCCCGAAAGATAGAGCTCAAATAGGAAATAAAAACATAAAAGCAAAACGTATTCTGTTGCGATTCCACGATTAAAAACCCTCATGCCATGCATTTTCACTTCAAGCTTCCTATGCCTGCTCTGTGCATGAAGATTTACCCTTAAACGCGAGTAGGGAAAACTTGGGTAGCATAATTTGGTAACCAAAAAGAATGGCTCCACTAGCATATAAAATATACCATTATTAACATAACATACTATTAACTAACAGGAGTAGGTAACGTTGGCACTCCAGATGTGGTAAAACTACAAATTCCATCATGCTTCTGGTTGCCAGTGTTTTCTAATGCTGCATGGGACTCACAGTTTCACAAAAGCTGAGGCTGTCTACCTCCCCTTTAAACTCTGAACACAATCAGTGTAGCTCACTTACAAAACAGAAATACCTTCAGATAAGCACTAATGGCCAGTTGTCTGCTGTTCTGTTGATTGACACTAGCTCTAGAGGCCCCACAGTTGGGGAATTTCTCTGATTGAGAAGCAACGTGACTCAGTAGGACTTGCCTTAGAAAACACCTGATTAACTAGATTTCTTCTCAATAAAGTCGATTAGTACGGAGTTCATGAGAACCACAGGAATGGGAGCCTGAACAACAGAAATTCTGATTCAACATCAAACAAAAGTGCTTTCTAATTTTGCAGGAAATAAAAAGAAACACCCTATAAACTACAAGTCTCCTGATTGCACTGAGCATCCAGCCGACTAGGTATTAATGGTGGGATGGAGTGGTCCAACAAAGACAAAAGGGGAAGGTGACAAATTATTTTACTCTAACCATAAAAAAAAATTGGGAGTTACCATTGAATTACTGTTAAAATGATTGGGTTACCATATTTAGAGAGATGAGGCTGAACTGGTACTTCTGCATTTATTTTTTTTCTACCTTAAAGGCCTTTATAATCCGTTCGAAGAAAGCCATTTTGTTAAAATACTTATTCTCTATATTACAGACCTCATTTGCACCTTTCTCCCCCTTTGTTCTCTTCTCCCTTCGCATGTATTCAGTGTTTACCTGTGGCTAGGGACAGATGGCCGGCCCTGGAGGCAATCTGTCTGCTTACAGGGCCAGTCATCCATCCCTAGATGGGGGTAACCACTGGATATGGAGATACATGTGAACAGTGGCGGACAGCTGCAGCTCTAGTCAGCCTGTCATTGCTTTGTACAGGTTTAGAAGCCACAGATGTCCAGAACTACCTGTCATTCCAGCCACAGGAATCCACAGATGTGGGAACTAAAAGCCCTTGTGAGTGAGGGCTAACAAGTGATGTTTCTGCAGATGGAGAAAAAGTTTGCATCCAAAGGTAAAGACCTTTATTTCAACTTTATAGAATTTGAGAATTGTAAAATGTCTGCAATACTACCCAGACCCATCTAAGAGTAGCGATACTAGCAGACAAAAGTCACTCTGCCAGAAACCAGTACAGAACAGTAGGCATGACGCACTGGGTGACGGTCAGGAATTTTTTTTCTCTATGTCTAGAAGGACCGAAAAAATAAGATGTGCAGGAGAAATTAGAATTTTTCCAATTCATGACTCAGCATACCCTGTAAGGACCTTTCATGTCATTTAGGAGCAATGAATGATATATTTCAGATATATCTGTAAAAACATAAGTCAAGGCAACTGGACTTGCTGTAATTTTTTTTCTTGAAGACGTTTCACTGGTCATCCAACCAGCTTTCTCAATTCAGAATGACTTGTACAAAAATTCTCTGGGAATAAATACGGTGAATGTTGCTAAAATCCACATAATGTTAGTGACAACCAGGTGTTGATTGCACTTGCATAATTGGAGTCTAGGAGGTGTTATTAACCTGCCCAGAGAGAAGTGTTCCCTTGTTGGCAAGCACAGAGGTAAGACGTTTCTTGTAGTTGGTGACCAGGTTTGTGCCTTCTTGAGGAGGGGGACCATGTGGGCGCTGCAGGATCTCAACCCATGGTGGTGTATTGGGTTATCAATGGTTTGTTTGGTGACTGTGGTCCCAACTGCCTTGTGGTCATTCACAAGCTACTCCCATGAAGTTCTGGGTTGATGTCTCACTTTTCTCATGATCATCCTTACCCCATGAGGTGAAATCTTGCATGGAGCTCCAGACCAAGGGCGATTGATGGTTATTTTGTATTCTATCTGCAAATAATCGCTCCAACAGTTGTTTCCTTCTCACCAAGCTTCTTGCTGATAGTCTTGTAGCCCATTCCAACCTTGTGTAGGTCTACAATCTTGTCCCCAACGTCTTTTGACAGCTCTTTGGTCTTGCCCATGGTAGTGAGAAAGAGATTCTGTGGACAGGTGTCTTTTATATACATAACAAGTTGTTGTTGTTGTTGTTGTTGTTGTTGTTGTTAGGAGCACCTTCCTAGATTTACAGGACTAATCTGTGTACCACATAG